CCCCCCCCGCCCCCGGCTCCGGCAACAACAGATGCTCTGGCCATCAGGCCACACCAGGGCTACGTCTAGACGGGCAGGATTTTTCGCAAATGCTTTTAACGGAAAAGTTTTCTGTAAAAGCACTTTTTGGGGAAAAGCGTCTGTGCCAATCTAGACGCGCTTTTCGGCAAAAAAGCCCCAATCGCCATTTTTGCCATCGGGGCTTTTTTGCGCAAAACAAATCTGAGCTGTCGACACTGGCCTTTTGCCCGAACGGGAGCAGCGTAGCATTTCCACAAGGAGCACTGATTTCAGACAGTAGGACGTCAGTGTTCTGGTGGAAATTCAAGTGGCCAGTGTAGACAGCTGGCAAGTTTTTCCAGAAAAGCAGCTGCTTTTGCGGAAAAACTTGCCAGTCTAGACGCAGCCTAGGTGTGTGGGGGATGGGACACAGTGGCCCAGTTTATATATACATGCTGCGTGCCTCGGTTTCCCTCCATGCCTTACACTGCTCCCAGAGGGGCTAAAGGGGCAGATCCACTCCTGACACCTCACTCACGCATTGCTGGAGCCAACCCACCCCAGACCCTAGGGCTGAACAGCAGTGCCCTCCGGCAAGCAGAGCACCCGGCCTTGGGCAGGGATCAGAGCCGGCCTGGGGGGAGACATGGGAGCTCTGCTGGGAACTACAGGGCAGGAGGGAACAGAGGGAGCCCTGGCTTGGCCAGGCTGGAGAATGGCTGAAATGGAAGGAAACAGGGAAACTGAGGCACAGCACCCAGCCATCACCCACCAGGTACCACTGCTGAGGGAACTTGGGGTCCGCGGGCTCCGCGAAGGCGTCTCTCTTCGTCCTGCGCTTCGCAACCTGCTGCTCCAGCCAGTGCACCTAGAGACAGCAGCAGGGTGAAGAGCCTCCGCCCCTGGCCACATGCCCCTTCCCTGTCTGGCTGCAGGAGCCGGCCAGGCTGGCAAGGGCAGGGGCGCTCCAGGCCAGGAGGCTGGCACACTGGGGGGGCCGGACCCTGCCTGCCTGCTGG